GCCCGGGGAAGGAGCCAAGAAACGCCGCCACGGGGCCCGCTGGGAGGCAGGGAAATGAATGGATCGACGCGCCTAACTCCTCCGTCGTTGTTCAGCTTGCCAATGGAGCCCCTTGCCCTGCCTGGTGGGAGAGCTCCCGGAGAGGTCCCAAATCAGGGATCCGGCAAAGGGCTACCCTGATGCTCCCCCTGTCCCTGGTCTGGAAAGAGACCCGTGGAGGGCACAGAAACTAACTCCAGCCTTTGGTCCCGGAAGACGGACCCCTGCGGGGGGTGGTCGCTCTGGCATCTTTTAGGACTGCAAGCCTCGGAGGGGAGGGAGGTGTTTGCTCTGCTCTGTCTCGTTCGCGGGCTGGATCGCAGACCCCGCAGCTTTCGTTCGCCTCCGAACTGAACGTTGACTTGGAGCGCAGGCTTCCGGGCCTGGAAGCCCAGGAAGACGGACTCCGGCTGGCGTCGCCTTCCTCTCCTCAGCCTTTCGCTTCCCTGCGGGTAAAAGCAGCTGCGGGAGCTCCCTGCGGGCCAGAGCGGGGCTCCACGCGCGGAAGCTGATTTGCAAGCAGCCTGGCGAAATGCCTCACCCGCCCCGCCGATTCGGAAAATGATTCCAGCGCCGCGATCGCATTGCTGGTTGAAGGTTGAGCGGGGAGCGAGCATATCCCCTCCAACCAAGAAGGGGGTCTCGTGGACGCGGCATAATAAGCGAGGCTCCTTCGTCTCCCCCACCTTAGCTGAAGGAACTGGGCAGCGCCTCTATCTATCCCTGAAGAGCAGCTGTTAGCTCAGTGCCCTACGGGGTCGTCTCAAAACTACGGCATCCTCTGTAGGCGAGCCTCTCGGTTATCTCTCGGGAGATTTTAATTCTCTCCAGGGTTTCTTCAGATACGTGGCGCTTTCGACGGTAGAAGCGGAACAGATCCGTGGGTGGTTGTAGCAGGATGTGATGAAGCCTGTCGTTTACTGTAGGCTTAAAGGCAAGGTTACGGGCTTAAGCACAGCTCCTCGGAAGAAGTCTAACTGGAATCGGAGAAGTTTATTTCCGAGTAAATACCAGATGGCTTTCCTAGAGCTTTTGCCTGGTGTTATCCTTGTAAAACCCGTGGATCCTCAGACCACAGGATTTTCAGGTGACAAGCAATTTGAGAGGGGTCCGAAAGGGAAGAATTAAAGCTCATTTTTGTATAGTGGATGGTTGGCCTGGTTCACCCAACAGGCAGAGCCCTTATCTGGATTCCTTAGTTTTGATTTAGACTGGTGTGAATCCAACCAACTGTAGCTTTTAAGCTAGAGTTTATATCTTGGTGTGCTGTTCAATCCATGCAACTATGGTGGTTACACAAGCTATGTTAAAACAATTTGGGGCATGGTGTAATGTGTGAACCCAGCCTTATTGCTTCTAAGGGGCATGGAGAAAAGGGACCAGCCTTGTCATCTCAGCAGCTCTTAGTTTGTTAGTTCTCTGCCATCTGGGCTCCTTCGGAAATGCCCTGTGTGTCACTTTGCTTCTCCCAGCCAGCAGACTCTTTTGAGGAGAATAACTCAAGGTTTAATCAGAAAATTTTATGCATTTCCATCTGAGCTCTGTACAGTAAATCATACTACAAAATTGTTTAATATTCTGGTCAGTGACCATTGTAAAGATGTTCTGTTTTATTCTTACTTCCATCAAATCTTGGGATGACATTCAACCTTTGCGAATACTTTCCATGCTCAAACCTTGAAGGATTCGGAAATGAGAATGATTTTCCCATGGCAGGCCATAAGCCACTCTCGAAAGGGCTTTGCAGCATTCTCTTTTGTACTAAATGTTAAGAGTGGTTCTTGACTTCTCTTCTTGGAGCCTGAGTTCCTACATAGCTGAGAAGCAATCTTTAAAATGGATTCTTAGGAAGACACCAAGTTGCTGCAAGAGATGCAGTTTTTTACTGGAATCATCTTTGAGGGTGCCCCTGTAAGGAAGCATAGGTGGAAAGGCTAAGTCAGCAAGCCTGTGGACTCATTTGCTTGGGAGTTAACCCTGTAGGTTTAAAGTCAGCTTTACTCCCAAGCAATGTGTTCTTGGAGAATCTGGGAACAATGTTCATGATTGAATTTCCTCATTAAGCATCCTCAGACCTGGTGTTTTCCTTAAAACATATTGGACAGCACTACTAATCCTTCCCTTCTAGCCATGTCTTATATCTGGAAAAATTAGAATAGATCCATTTTGTAGATAATACTTACAGAAAGCTTTAAAAAGATAGTCCCCCCCCCCCCCCAATGCAGCAACTTGGTGGAAACAGAAAACCAGTCCCTGGTTGATAGAAAAAGGATCAACAAAAAATTAAAGTCTAAAAGAAGCTGACCTGTGCCTCAAGCCCCACTAATCCTGCAAGAAAGCCTGTTATGAGCTACCCATGAGCCTGGAAAATTCCCAGGATTTTAAATTTGGCCCTGCAACTGGTTAGTGAATTTATTTCTATCTTAACAGCTCCTTCTGGGTTCATATAAGCTATGGTTTATTTAAACGTGATTTATTGAATATACCATCATTAGCTGGGCACACACCACAGGCTTTCTGCAATGGGAATTTGAGTATTAGCTTCACATAATCTCTTCTTATTTCCCTCTAATTTTTTTTATTTCATTAAAATAAATATATTTTTCTGCTGACTGGAGCCTCATAGGAATATATGATATGAAATGAATATTTCATTTAAGTCATCCTGATGCTAACTTTTAATTGCAAAGCAACTCAAGTCCTTTTGCTGTTGTCTTTCTAATTTTTCTGCTTAAAAAATCTTTAACGTCCTGGCTCACCCATATTTTCAGGAAAGCAAAAGTTGGTTTCAATCTTCAGCAGACAAAGAAGACACATACAAGACAGTCCTACTAGTGACAGATCTAAGCTGCAACTTTATTCTCACGGTTTCCTGTGAATAACTCTGTTAATCTCAGTGGATCTTCTGAGTAGACACTGTCGGGCTTGTTGAAATTCTATAGATTGGAAAAGAGGAAATAGATGAATGAAACACATGGGATAAGGCTGTTATAGTTATTGTAATTTTGAGGATAGCCTCTCATTATTACACATGGTGTTTAATCCCTCAGTTTTTATGCATTTAAATAAATAAAAATGAAGTAGAGCTTCAGGCTGCTATCAGTATAAAGCTCTAAAGTTTGGAAAAATAATAAAATAAACAGATAATAGAGCAGATAAAGACAACTCAGCAGGGAGGATTTAAACAATCCTTTACACGAGGTAACTGCAGTAAGAAAATGTAGATCCCCAAAAGCCTTTCCAGCAGCAACAAATTCCGCCAACCTGAGGCAGCCACAGAGTAGGCCCTGCTGGGTCCACAGCTGTAGCTCCTGTAATAAGGAAGAAAGGGGTTTCTCCCGCAGATTTGAAGTTGCGGGCAACATAAACCTCATTTATTGTGACCTCCCCCAATTCTCACTGTACATCTAGAGCAGTGTTTCTCAACCTCAGCAACCCAGCAATTCCCTATACTGGCTGGGGAATTCTGGGAGTTGAAGTCCACTCATCTTAAAGTTACTGAGGTTGAGAAACACTGGTCTAGAGGGCTGTCTCGGCATCCACAGCAACTTCTTTTGCTGACTTGAGAAATGTCCCCTTAGTCCAGGTGCGAATTGCACTTTTGTACTGTTTTTGGAAGAAAAGAAACTGGGAGGGAAGGCTGTAAAAGGAACCAAGCCAATTCCATGTGTGCTACTGCTAGGTGGGATTATGGAGGACTGAAGAGCCCCCAAACTCAAAGTTTTAAATCACACCGGTTAAACTACGGTTGCTTTTTCAAGAAAGCAGTAGGTCGAGACTGCTATCAGAAGATGGGATGTTTTTTAAAATTCTACCTCCATTAGTCCGGGAAACTGTCAAGGATGTAGGGCTCGTTCAAGATATTTTCACCCGCCCTCCGATCTACTCCCAACAATCAAGCGATGAAGGAGACACCGACTGGATTTACACAAAGCCCTAAACTATGGTTTAACTACGGTCTATTGAAGAAGTAATGGTGGGTTCACTCGCCACTAACTCCGAGATGACTGACTGCTGTGGGGGAGCGCGACAATGCCTGTGTCGGAACCGCCGGATGAGAGGTGGCTTCATCGCAGCCGAGTCCTGCCCGGCCTGGTTTGGCGAGGCCCCCGCAATCCCGGCCAGCTCCTTGGCCGCAGGAGGAGCCGGCACGGACCCCAACCCTCTCCGTTTGGCTGGACCCACTCACGGGAAAAAAGCGCTCCCGCCGCTGAATGGAACTCGCTGCAGGCAGAGCCGCGGTCTCCGGCGGTGCTGAGATTCCAGTTCCCAGGCTCCTCAGACAGTATGGCTGGGAATGCTGGGGGTTGTAATCGCAGCACTTTGGGTTGGCACGCTTTGAGCAAGGCTGAAAGAGCCAGTGGGACGGGCTGGTAGCCCCGCTCCTTCAAGGTGTTTGTTGGCTCCTGTGAAGACTCGGAGCTGGGGCAGCACTTAGAAAGTCCGCTGGCCAAGGTCCTTTCTGCGCAAGGAAAGGGTGGGGTGTTACTAGCCAGATTCACCCATCTCCTGGAGTCGGAAGGTATGTTTCCTGCATTCCCATAACACACTGACCTGCGAAACACCGAACCGCTCTTAGCCTGGTCCTAGTACGGTATTTCAAGCCAGCCATCATGTGGTTGCTTAGAGTTGGCTTGGGCAATATATGAATGAACCTCCTCGATTTTAGGGTGATTGGTAAACCGTGGTTAAGGAAAATATTGTTCATGGGTAAACCAGATTACTGGAGCTACTTAGATGAAAAGCCGCTGGCGATGATCCACACAGGCCCGCTGCCAAGTCGATGGCAACCCGTTCCGATTCCCGATGGTCTATACAGGTGGATTCACGCCGCACTCTGGCCTCGGTTACTTGCAATCCGAATGGTAACAGCCTCACGAAATGCTAAATTTGTTTAGAGCTGAACGGGAGGGGCAGACGGCTTAGCATGCTGTCCGAGCTCCTTTGGTGACTTTATGAGTTCAGAGAATAGATTAATTAATTGACCAGGTTAAGCATCTTGTGTAAACACTGCCTGTGCATGCGTCTGGATGGCTGCGGATTTCTGATCTTAAGCCTGTGACCCTGAGCCATACTCCGCTCCTCCTTCGCGCCCCATTCCAGTTTTTTTCTTTGCCGTACATCTCTTTGCAAGTCATTGGAGTTAATTTTGTATAACGGTTTAGGATGGAAGCAAAAGTGGCTGGAATCTCTCCGTGTGTGCATGTGTATGTAGGGGACAAAACGTAGGAAGTGCGCTTCCTCTGATAGCATTACTGTTAGCACATTTAGGTTGTCTGTGGCAGAAAACTTTGTTCTCATCACCTCGTCCTCCTTCTCCCAAGGGAGACGAAGCGCAAAGCAGAAGCGCAAACCAGTCCCGAGGAGGACCACGAGTTGGACCTCGGGAATGTTGCTGTCCCTTGTCTAAAATGTTGGGCTGGCGGCCGCAGTCTTTCTATGTGCTCATTTTTATCTCTAAAAACTGGACCCCCCAAAAAAGGTGATGTTCCGCATAATCTTTTGCGTGCAAATTCTACCTTGCCCAGAATATTTGTTCCGAGTCAATCCGGTTAGGGGCTGGGCTTCTGCATAAACTAATCATCCGGATTAGGACGGTTTCGGCGAACGCCCTCCTTTCCCACTTTCCGTTCCTGTCCAGCTCGGTCTTCAGTCCTGGGATGCAGGTCGGTCTGTTGAGCCTTGAGCGAAAGCCAAACGAACAAATTTCGCCTCATCCCCGAATAGCCACCGTATACCCTTTTTTTCGAAGGATCTTCCCCCCCCCCCCCCCACTACTGAAGAAATCTGAGCTATTGCAATTCCTCCTCTCCCCCTCTAATAAATTATCTAAATCTAGACAAAGTTGTTGCCTTTTGGAGACTCCTCAATAACTGTAACTTCTGTGCAAAATGTGAAGTAAACGCACCCACCCACTCAAGAATACTAATTCAAATTGTTAATCCAGAATCTGTTCTTCCATCTGATCCTTTCATTTATCCCTTTGGACTGGCTTTCCCCCCAGTAAATGTGGATTAAGATGTTAGGAGGCCTTTGTATTAGACACTGTAACATTTTGATTGCAGAAAATAGGACTTTTGGGGGGAAATGTATAGAGTGTTCTGAGGTGATATATTCAGGGTCTTTCTGACACACACACACACACATGCACACACACACGCACACACCATTTCCAAAGAAGTGTTTGGAGTCTCCATTTAATCTTTTTTTTTAAGCATCTGGTAGGCTAAGACTCCATCCTGAGCACGCCAAGGGGGAAAGAGGCTGCAGTCCTGCGTGCCCTTATCTGGGACTAGACTCATGGGATTCAGCAGATTGAGTCCACCTACATAGAATTGTTGCAATTTCATTTATCTTGATTAGACTTCCTCTTGAACGACCAAATAGCCCCACTGCACTTTTACGGGAGTCTAAGTCCTGTTGTATTTAGTAGCGAATGTACATAATTTGAAGGTGCATATTTACTTCAAAGGACTTTGGAGGTTGTTTTTTTCATAAAGAATGAAAGAACTCACATTTGACAATTGCACAAGATCTGTTTGTACACAGACAGGCAAAACTTGCTCCTTACCATCAACAGACTCTGCTTGATGTAAAAGTTCTTCCATCAAATGTTTTATTGCTCATTGTGGCAACAGTGTATATAGCATTCTGGGGAATATATCTTTAATCTAATATCGAAGCATCTTTTAAAATACCATCTTTTTCCACTAGAAGTGGTTTCCCATCCTTATCTCCAAATCCTTCACTGAGGCTTTTAGCGTCTGCCATATATTTTATTTTTGCCTTCTGGGTGAGAAGACCTGGCCTTTCCTTCCCTTTCTTTTTGCATTTGCTGAGGGCTTTTTACTGATTCTAATGGGAGGAGGAGTTTTAATTAATGGCAAACAGTGTTTGTGCAGCCATGTGTGTGTGGTGAATTCACTGGCCGTTAAGGAGGAGGTTGTAACTGGGACAGTGAAGAAGATCCTGTCCTACAGCTGCAGATTAGGAAGAAACCTGTTAGAGGAGTGCCGTAGTCTTAGAAATGGCATCCTTCTCCAGAGAAAAAATGTAGCTAGCATTTCTCTCCTGTTTTTCCTCCAGCTAAATTCAAGGGAAATAGTATATTAGGAAATTTCAGGTTCTGAGGTCATGTATTGTTATACTGTTGCTTCAAAATATGTAATAATTCTTAACTGTATAAGAAATTCTCTTGAAATAGGTCTATGTCTTCCCCAGTAACCTTGCCGAGGTGGAAAGAAGGAAATATGGAAGAAATTGGCAATGAAATAATCTAGTTTACTCCTGATCTTGTTTGATAGATATCAGTGATCAAATCAGAACTGTCCAAACCCTGTCACTGTCCATGATGAGTACCATACACAAGGCAGAACAGACAAAATACTTAAGTTTAAACCAGAACTTATTCAAAAAGAAAAGTATGTAACACAATTCCCTTAGCAATTGGGTGAGTTATTTTTATTCCATCTAACTGATTTCATTGAATGGGTTAAGTCAAGGTTCCTTTACACAATCCTTACAGCATCTTGAGAACAGAGTCCCAAGAGAATTAGAATTAGCAGAATGTAATTAGTGAGGTGACATGAAAATATTTGCTTCAATCAAAGCTGTGTGCTTTTACTAGCTGTACTATGATACTTGGCTCTATGGAACATTTATTATAATTGCAGTGGTGAAAAATCATCCCCTAATCCTAGGAACCCTTAGCAACTCTCTTTTCTCAATTCCAAGGAAGTCAGTTACCACTGTAATCATGCTGGCCAATAGCCAACTGGAGGCAAGCCTGTTGTCCTGAGAGAAATGTAAGTGCATGTTGCAATCAATGGGGCTTAAATGCTCATAGTTTTGATGGGTTCATATCTATGACATGTTAGTTTTCAGTTTTCTGCCAAGTTATCTCTGTCTGTACTCATCCTTAACTCACATTGTTGTCTTTGCAAGATTGTCCCTAGTACCTGGTTGCTTGATTCACAGAACGGTTCCCATGGTTTCTGTTAGTGGATACCTAAACATCATGTGAGACTGTGGTCTTAACATGTTATGTGAGGCTAACACTCCTGGTCTTAAAGCTTTGAGGATTGTATTGATTTTTCCATCACTTGAGGAAAGGGGCTGCTTCGGGAAGAATGTGGCCTGAAAGGAGACCCAAACTCCTTTTCAAAGCTTATAAATCTGAGGGAGAGAAGCACACTTTTTCTACCCCACTGATATATGAACTTCCCAGTTTAAAAGATTACAGTAATCACAAGAGGACAGTGTAAATCAAATCTGATAGCAATAACTTTTGGGGTAGGTCAGGCTCAAGTGAAATGTTACCAGGCAACAGGCATTTTCTTTACAAAATACAGTCAAAGCGCATTGATGAGAAATTCTTTCCTGCCAGCTAGTCAGCACTTCTGTTTAACAGCTTAGGAGAAGGGAGGAGGACATCTTCATCAGTCAAATGTCCCAGCGTGCTCCCTGGGGCTATGCTGCTGCTGGAAAAGGATGGTCCTTTTGGCCATGGCCCAACTGGAGTTTCAGATTCTTCAAGCTCTTGGGAACTGAGTGCAGGAATCATTGACGAGTTCAGACATCATGCTAAACCATGGCATGCCTAAATGTGGGTTGTTGAATAAACCACAATAGGCTGGGTTTAGAGAACAAGTTAAGCTGTAAATGGTAGGTTATAAATCAGAATGGCTGGGTTCATACAACACATAAAGCCAAAATCAAATAAACAACAAGTATGTTAATACTGTGCATAAATTGTACATAAGTGATCACTCTCTGTAGGAAAATAATTATTGAGCTGAGTTCTATAAAACAGTAAATAAAGTATTCATTAATTTAAACATCAAAAAGTAGTAAATAGACCATAATATATATAAATATTTAGCTTTGTTCAAATGTTCATGTTTGAGTGACTTATTGTACACATCTCTTCAAGTAATTTGTTCTAATGGAAAGAGATGATCTGGTTCTTTGTGGGACTCCTGGGGACATGGACTAAACTTCAAGCTATTTCTGAGGTTTTCAAGAAGAAACTTGGTATTGTTCTCTTGCTCAGTTTTAGAAAATGTAAAATTGGTCACACATGTGTATTAAAGGCATGTGTGGATCTACCAGGTGAGATGGATTCTTGAAGGGAAAAAAAAAGATTATTTTTAAGATTTGGACCAATGCTTAGGATGACTTACAATTTTAATGCAGGCTTAACAAAGTAGGATATAATCTGATAAACAGATCTGCAATTCTTCAGATGCAACTATTGTTCAGACAGCAAAATTATGTACAAATATGAATATTTTCAAAACAATGTTAAATTTAATCTTGACAAAGAAAATCTTCAGGTGAAAGATTTGGCATTTTAAAACTGTAATATAATATTGCTTCTTGAATATCCATTCAAATTCAGTTCTATATATTGTAACATGAATATTTATGCACTTTGCTGTGAAAATTGGCAGATTCAAATGAAATACTTATTTTGTTAATGTTACAAATGTGCTAATGAACAAGCATGCCTACCTACTTTTTAAAAACTATTTGTTACAATCTTATCTACTTTATAAGTCTTTCTCTTCCCACTTCCTTTAAAGACATAAATGAAACAAATAATGCTTTCTTGATAGGTTCACTGAATCTCCAGATCACTTCTATATAAAAATAAAATCTGAAACAATAAGGGCAGCAAAACACTGAATTTAAGTGGCAAACCACTTGGAAGCAGTCTCTAGAATATTTAGAATAAGTTGTCTGAAGGATTAAAGATGAGGAGAAGAAGAGTTGACAGATTAAAGGTTTTAGGACTTACATGTAGTTACGTTTATGATATAAAGTTGTATAATTTATAGTTATTCATGTAGTAGATGTGTATCCTGGTTTTGTTTTTTGTTTTTTGCTGGTTAGTTTCTTTGTTCTGACAGTTTTTCTGCCCCAAACAAGTGAGTGGAGTCTCAGCAAACTATGTAAGACTGAATGCATCCTTCAGATCAAAGGAGTTTGCCTACCCCACTCTAGAGTGTAAAACAAGTGCGTTGTCAGGTAACTGGTACTTCTTTCATGCATTTCTTGGTTATTTTATTTGTAGCAAGAAGTAAATCCAACAATTTGGGCTTAAATGAAGGAGTGTCTAGGAAAACATGCTACAGGACATTTCCTTCAACAAAACCCATTCATGTTGTCTGTGGTTTTCTCATAAAGAGGTGTGGCTCAGTGAACTGCACAGAGAAATCAAATAAAGGCAAAGTTCAGGATTAGTGCGTAATCTTAATTTATCTAGGTGGTTTTTGTTTTGCCTTGTGCTGTTATTTTATTTTATTTATTTATTTTGCTAAGTACCACCAAGTCATGTAAGTGAGGATAAAGGAAATTGAAAAATAGTCAAGGAGATTTTTTTAAAGAGCACTATTTTAAAATTAGTCATGGCAGATATGAAAAACAAATGCAGAGAAAAGGCAACCTAAAATCAGCAGAACTCTAGGCCTTATTAAGGCCAGTTGGGGATTTACTAAACAATAAAGAAACTTTTGAATTTTTAAGAGTTTTTCATCAGACAAGGATATGGGAAGGAAAAATCTTACTCTAGCTGTCTTTTTCCCCTTCCCCCTTTCCCCTTTGGTGAACCATGATGAGGTTTCAGAAATGTGAAACAGCTATTTGGGAAATTGTCAGTTGACTTAATAAAGGCAATAGCATACATGTTTTCCAGACTGGATGCTTCAAGGTGGTCTTTGATCCATATTTTGACATCAGTGACCAAAGTTTTAAGATTCTCTTCAGGTTTCAGTGATGGGTGATTGATAGAGTAGTTCATCACAGCAATGCCATGGACCACAAATAAATAATACCTTTTTCTCAGCTCACTTCGACTAAAGAAAACCCTGAATTGTTGCAATTCTTTTGAAAATCATTTGGTATTAATGAACTGCAGACTATAGACTGTGTTATAGTGTTTCTGCACAAGATCCTATTCTCTATGAACCAAAAATACTTAAGCTGATACAGTTGGGTTATTCTTAGTCATATAATTGAATGAACATGTGCTGTAGTAGTGTAATAGGTAAGTTGGCTACAATGAGAGCTATTGGGAGTAGCAGCTGGGGACATGATTTCCTTATTTTCATTTCCAATTTATTGTAACTGTAGTCTGGGCAAAGTACAAACAAAGCATTATATCTAGAAAATAAGTAAAGGGGTCTTGCCAGTGAGAGAAGTAATTATAAATGGATTAAATGGGTCAGCACCCAGTCTCTGCTATAAATCAACACCTTTTTAATACTTGTAATCTAGAACAATTTATTTGTATAAATCATGAAAAGTAATCCCAAATAAGGATTCATTGCTTATAATACTTAGAAAAATGTATACAGATGATAATGTCTTTGTTCTCAGTGGCATAACAAAGCTGTCCTCTGTTTTATAGACATGACAGAAGAGCGATTGGGTGACATCAGTGGAGGAGACAGTACTGAAGCCTACAGTGACAAAGACACAGACCAAAGGAGTTCCCCAGAAGTGGCCAAGACCAAGAGCAGCTTCACTCCCGAGAGCCCTGAAATAGTTTCCGTTGATGAGGGTGGTTATGCAGTCCAGAAAAGCAGTGGGAGCACTGACAGCAGACCCGAGAGTCCTAAGTATCAACCGGAGCAGAACCATTTCTTGATTGAAGGTCCATCAGGGACAGTTTCTCTCCCATTTGGCTTAAAAGCCAACCGGCCACCCCTTGAAGTGTTAAAAAAAATATTCCCTAATCAAAAGCCAACTGTGCTTGAGTTAATCTTGAAAGGCTGCGGGGGTGACCTAGTGAGTGCTGTTGAGGTCCTCCTGTCAAGCAGATCCTCTATAGGTGGAGGAGACAGAACTTCTGCAGAATCAGAAGGCCTGGTTTTGCCTTCAAATGGGCACCTCTTTGAACACACTTTGAGTTCCTATCCTATTTCCTCTTCAAAATGGTCAGTAGGGTCCGCTTTTCGAGTCCCAGATACACTGAGGTTTTCTGCTGATACTAGTAATGTTGTAACAAATCCATTGGCTGTTCCATTACAGCATCCCTTCCCACAACCTCCCCGGTATCCCCTGATGTTGAGGAATACTTTGGCAAGGAACCAATCCAGTCCATTTCTACCCAATGATGTTACTTTGTGGAACACCATGACTCTTCAGCAGCAGTATCAGCTGAGGTCTCAGTACGTCAGCCCTTTCTCTGCTAATTCTGCTACTGTCTTCCGAAGTTCTCCTGTCCTTCCCACACGCCCATCAGAGGATCCTAGAATCTCACTTCAAGATGATGGATGTCCAATTGTGACAAAGCAACCTATTTATACAGAAGATGACTATGATGAAAGATCTGATTCCTCAGATTCTAGAATACTAAACACATCTTCGTAAAACAATTATTTGCCATGACATTTTTCAATATGGCAGAATTGCTTGACATCAAACAAAAGAAATTGTGGCTCATATATCTATAGAAGAAAGTGACTCTGCTTGTTACTATCTTTTAGCAATAAAGACATAATTTATTTTATTTCTTGCACTTCACTGAAAAATGCCAAATAGTTACTATTTCATGGCTTTAGTGCTGAATGTTTATTACCGAAAAGAAAAAAAATTAAGCATACTTGTGAGAAACTGTGAGGGATTGTGAAACATTTATAGTAGAGCAAATACATATTATCTTTTACACCACTGGGAATATTGATATTGTACTTGGATGCAGTGTTCAACGAGAGGACTCCTCAGGATAAATAAGCAACTAAAAGCAAATAATTAAATGGCAAGAGGACTAAACAGTGACCTTACTGACTTTATCACCATCACTGTCCTGGTGTTAAACCCAAGAGTCATAAAAGACTAAGAATGAACTGTCCACATGTGGTTCCAGCTGAGACACTTTTTGGAGCCACCATAAATCCTATTCTTTTCACATGGCTTGATGGAAACAATGTTATAACGTCAGTGTAAAGTAAATTACAGCCGTAAGTTGCATGAAGATGTCTTGTGAAAAAATGAACACATAATTAAAATTGTCAGGTAAATGTAGCATGCTAAGGACTCTGGGGGAAAAATAAACTCATGCTGATCTTGATTTTTACATGTTATTTATATTTGGAGAAAGTTAGCTTGGTTTTATAGACACATCCTGAATGGAATTTTAGGTTCTTTTGCTTGAACATGAGGTGTAAATATAACTGATGAGGCCAAGTAACTTTTGAGACATATAATGTAGTATTATAGGCAGAGGAAGTACATTTACACAAATGCAGTCACATATATTGATGCTAGGGCTCTCAATTACTGTTTTCAGGCTTTCCAAGAACTGTTATCTTTTTGGCTTCTCTGAATTCATTGGATCTTTGGGTAATTGCTTGAATTACCTTATTTTCTTGGGGAAATTTGTCTCAAATTTTCCCACTTCCCATGTAGGAATTTCCTATATCAAAAAATACTGCCAAATGTTAAGTTCGGGAGCAGGTGAACTCAGGAAATAGCTGCAGTGTGAGGAAATAATGCACACATTTATAATGTACCTTTTAGCTTCTTTTATGTTTCAGCCATGGGTCACCTTACTTCACATCTAGCTGTTGGGTAGCAGATAGCTTTATAGAGAAGAAAGAATCCATGGAGAAAGAAACATTAAAGTTAGGAGTACAGCTTTTATAAGGAAGTATTCTTGAGGCTAGTGATGTGTGAAAGCAAAGTAATTTTAGTAATTCTAACTCTGTGATAGAAAACTCTGAGTTATTTAAGTCTATCTACAGCTAAAAGCCTGTAGCATGCTCTCTTCCATTATGGAGAGAGAGCAAGTCAGGTGAGTACCTGAACTACACAGGATCAAACAAGAAAGAGGATTGAGCTGAGAAAGAAAGGGAGTGATGAAAACAATGAAAATATCAGTCTAACCAACTGGAAATATGTTACATGTAAACACAAATTAATTTTTTTTACACTCAGAACAGAGATACCGGTGCTGACTACTTCTACGTCTATTGCCCCTGGTGGGCTATGTGCAGAAAGCTGGTGCATGCAAACCTGAATTCCAACACTAGCTGTTGTAGATGGGAAGGCACCTGGTTAGCTGCCACTGATGACAATAATCCATGCTTCTTGGGTTAGATGAACACAGAGCCTGATGGATAGCATGTTGCTATGATCCAAGTAGAACACAGAACTGGTTTAACTCAGTGTTGGGGGTGGGTCATTGTCCCTCTCTAAACTGTACAGCAGTTTAGCCAAATTGCAAGAAAATGAAATTTCCCTACCCTTTCCTGATGTAATGCCAAGAGTAGCAGGAAGCTGGAGGCTATGTAGACCTGAAATTCTTCAAGATATAACTTGTAGTTCTGGAAGTCCAAGAAATATCCTCCTATTTTCTGATTGATACTTGCCATTTAGTTGCTGGCACATTCCTTAAGATGAAAGTGTGGTTCAGAATTCAAGAAAATACTTTGTATAAAATCCACAATCATATAAGGTTGGAATTCTGTCAAGACCTTTAATGGTGAGACAAAATGTCCTGAGTCTTATGAGAGAGTGGTATAGAAATGCACATATTTATCTGAGTTTGCAAGTGTTCTTATATGCTCAAGAGGCACAGCTGTGAACATTTCCTTGCTCTGCTTGTTACCAACTCATTTCCCCTGTTTTAAGAAACTTTAGGGGGCGGTGGGCAACTTCTTCCAGTGCAACTACTGCCCTTTGCCAGTACAGACAGAGCTTTGGCATCAAGAGATCCTGGGTATTGCCTACTGCAGCAGACGAGCCTATTGCACGAATCATCCTACTCAAGTGTATTATAGCTTTAACTTAGTGCTTACCAGCAACAGGTATGGTAGCTGGGGAATCCTGGGACCTGTAGTTTCAACAACCTAGAAATCACCAGGTTTGGGAAGGATAGCTTATTACATCAAGAGTTTATAATATCCCTGCATGACACCAACACCGATTACCATTTTGGTACTGTTGTCTTGAGATCTATCAATATTTCTGTTATGGGCACTGCAGTTACTTTAATTGCTGGACTGCATTTTCCAGAAATATAAGCATAGTTCCTATTAATAGTATCTGCCATGCTATTGTAGGGATCCAGATTATAAGGCTATAACCTTTTCTAGCATTAGAGATTAAACTATAATTTATTTTTCATGGATTTATCCTTACAAATAGAATTGGAGTATAAATAATGATGGTGTACCATGGACCATATTTAGCTTCTGCACGGAGGACCTTGTAACTAGGAAATTGCTTAACATTTGGTGTGCCTTTTACCTCGGTGACATAGTATGACTTAGAATCATTAACACATTCCATTTCAGAACAATCCAACATACAGTGAGAAAGAATGAATACTCACTGCTTTACATGCTCAAATTGAGTAGAAAGGTAGATTATAAAAAGCAAACAAATATATCATATTTTGCTTAACACAGTCTCTGACAGCAAGAAATGGCTAAGCACACATGATATTAATGATCATCTGTGCATTCTGAAAAATAGCTTGCATTTCACTTTTGTTGGAGCCAGAGTAAAATTCTTGAAAAAGCAATTTAATAGCAGCAAAAACTAAAATAAATATCAAAAGAAAAAAAATCCTAAACCTAAATACACCATATTGTATTTTTAAATGCGACAGAGAAGGAGAACAATGAGCATTTTTTGTTTTATATTTTTAAAGCATTTTTTAAAAGTCAGTTCAAACTACAGTATCCAACTTTCTGCTGGTGATGGAAGTGATGTAAAGACTGTACCTGTGTGACCCATGAAAGCCAAGGTAATTCTCAGTAGGAAAGTAATACATGTACCCAAATTCAGGCTGAAGGTGACTGTCCCACCTCTCAAATGAAATTGGACCAATTCCTTTTCTTTGGCAGTCAACTCCTCTCTCTCATTTCCTGGCTTCATAGGAGCTATACAGGTAGTCCTGATTGACTCTTTCTTGCCATTTACACTAAGGGGAAGAAACTAAAACCCTTTAAAAAATATATATTGCTATTTTCTCCTGGTTCCAGACATGTTACTGTATATGAGGAGATCTAAGTTTCTAAGTCTCCAACTGTAAAGGATTTGGTAGCAGGTGAGGGGAAACATCTCTATCAGAAACGCAGGAAACTTTTAGCTTGCCACAATAGACCAGACCTCCAGCCAGAGGATATATAGAACTGCAATGCCCAGAATTCACAAACACTGTAGCCAGTACTAGGAGTTGGGGTCCTATCACACCAGGCTGGAGAAAGCTGAATTTAGATGTTATGGGTAAAGAGTCAGCCCTCAAACAAGGCAAGAATTTTTTGTATTCCTCCTTTTCACACTTGCTATCTCACATTTGGTGGAACATTAAAAAAAAAAAGAGTTCAAAATAGGTCTACAGTGGTACCTGTAGAACATTTGTTGAATTCATAGTAACAGGTTTGATTCACATTTGCTTCAGCATTCTAAAAAATGACCTTGATTCCTGTATCCTATTATATCATTTCAGTGATTTATATTTTATGTGCTTTGGCAAACATATGAAGAAAAATAATATTGATGCTAGATTAATATATTAATGTTATTATTGAAGCTATTCTGTGTTTGAAAAATAAGATCAATTCTTCAATTTCATTTTTTATGGGATGCTGGAGATTGTCATTTGTTGTTGTTCAGTCATTAAGTCGTGTCCGACTCTTCGTGACCCCATGAACCATATCGCGCCAGGCCTTCCTGTCCTTCACTGCCTCCCTGAGTTTGCTCAGTTTCATGCTCATAGATTGTCATTACAGAAAAATAAAATTATTTCTGAATGCACTGATATGCCAAATCTAGTGGACACATAATTCTAAACATCATTTACAGCCTTTTCTTATAATGAGTTCATTGATGGGAACCTTTTAACACCATCCCAAGATTCTTGGTCAGTAGAGAAAAAAATGGCTGGTTAGTTACTTGTTAATATCTTCTTTGAAAAGGTTTATTACATTGTGACCTAGCAAATAAATTAATACCTGCTTGAAGGATTGTGGACTCTGGAAATGTAACAGCCATCCTGGATTAAGAGCCACTGCTGATGCTAGCAACAATTAATGTCACCTGTTTTCATAATAGCCACAAAGGCTAAAAGCTCTGTTCACAAACTGACATTATTATTACTTGGCCATGAAAGTTTTATATTTGATTTTGAATTGTGAATGCTTTGTTTTTCTTACTGTTTAGCAGGCATCTTAATAGCTATCAATCAAATGTTTAATTCAAGGGAATTACAGCTGATATTACTGAAATCAGAATTCCCAACCTGATGTAATGGTATCATCCAGGTACTTTATGTAAGGAATTCTGGGAGCTATAGTTCTAAAACATCTGGATGAAACCAGGCTGGAGGAGGTTGGCATTAATTGTTGGCAGCCATAAAATAT